GCAGATGCGCACGAGGCCCCTTGCGGGTAAGACTGCGCGCCAGCGGCGCCGGCCCTCCGTCCACGACGCCCGGCGTGGGCCGCCACCGGGCAGCGGAGCTGGGCGAGGGCCGCGGGCAGAGGCGGGCCGTGGGGCCTGTCAAGGGCCACGGGGCCCCGGCTCCCCCACCCTCGCAGGGCCCGCCTGGGCCCGACACACCCACCGCAACCCACCACCACGGCCCGGGGTGGCCGGCCGCCGGGTGGGGGGCGGGCCGCTGTGCGGAGGGAACAGTGGCCAGCAGGTCCGAGGCGGGGCGGCTGGGCGGCTGGGTGCCCGGCTGCAATCCAGGGCGCTGAGTTGCCCATCAGCTTTCCCTGGGTTCAATCCAACCCGCGGTGGTTAGTCAGGTGTGTGCCAGGCTCTTATCCAAGGCACGTGTTTCCTATCAGTCTGCCCGGCTTCAGTCCGGCCGGCTGTGACAAGTCAGGCCCGTTCCAGGCTCTAAACCAGGGTGCTCTGTTGCTTATCAGATTGCCTTGGCTTCTGTTCTGCGGGCCGTGCCCAGTTTCCTCAGTCTTCCTCCTGTGCTGGCCCACCTTCCTTAGGCCCCCGTCCTGGGTCCCCAGTGGGGGTCTCCACCTCATTCTCCTGTACCTTTCACGTGGCGGCCCGGTGACACGTGGCTGGCCACTACTTTGCTCAGTGTTTGTTGCTGGCTGGGATCATATACATAGCGTTGCCCCCTGCTGGTTCCATGGGCTCATGTGGAGCAATTAATGGCCTCTGGGCAATGTGCTAACCTGTGCTGTTCGGCCTTTCTCATGGCCTGGCTTGCTACCCCAGACCCCATGCCTTAGCCCCTTATCTAGGTCTCCAACTCACAGTCTACTGTCCCTCTGAAGCCCCAGCCTGCCCGTCAAGGCTGAGGTGGCGGTCAGCTGGATTTTGGCAGTCGTGCTGGTTTTGACCACAGACAGCCCTCCAGGCATGCCAGCGAGGCCAGCCGCCCTCGTACATTTTGGTCCTTTGCTGCCTTGTGTTCCTCCTAGCCTTTTCCTGATGAGCACCTAACACCACTCAGCCTGTAACCCACACCCTATCCTGCCAGGATTGAACATTTGGATGTGTGCTACCCATCTGACTGTATGCACCTCGGTTGGCCTGCCTTGGTCACTCATCTTTATGCTGCCTTCGGCTTCCCTTTCCATCGATTCTGTTGTCCGGCACTTTGTTTAAAACAGCGTCATCCCTGGCCACGCGCCGTGGAATGTGAGTCCTCCCAAGCAAAAGACCTTGCCACTCCACTTAGTTGCTGGTGTCTTGTTCCGTACCACTGCCTTGCTGTGCCTTCTCCTGGTGGGTCCTGGCCCAGCTGCACTCCTGTGCACAGTTGGCTGCCAAGAGTGAATCCCCATGGTGCTGCTGACCCATGTGGTGGCAGGTAGGACCCATCTTTCCCCTTATCATGTTGTGACCTGCCCCGTGTGCCATCTGTTGCAGTGGAGAGCACACAGCTGGAGGCGGAGGAGGCTGACCCCTCCAGCGGTGGCCAGTTGTGCACATCAGGACACCGGGTCGAAGCCCAGTCTTTGTAAGTGATCACGGGCATGTGGGTCTGCTCTGTTGCACAGCTGATGACAGCGGGTCTGGGGAATGGTAGGGGATGGAACGTTTTCTTGGCTGTTGAAGACCATGTGCCCAGAAGGCCTGTTTTCCCGACTCTGGCCCAGCCTGGCCCGCCAACAGCCCCTCCCCACCCCTGTGTTCAGGAGCCCCTGTCTCTGTTGG